AAGACATAATTAACAAAAGTACGCCACAATACTTGGTTTGCCGCTGCTACTCTTCATCCTCGGTCATGCCCAATACTCGCTAGATCACGTTCTATCTGGTCCGCCCATCGTGCTCTCTGCGCTCCACGCCTTCTTGTGCCAACCGGATCAGTAGCGAACACCAACTTTGCAGGGTTGTTGTCCGGCATTCTTGCAACATGCCCTGCCCACCGCATCTTTCCGGCTTTGGCCACCTTCTGGATGCTGGGTTCGCCGTAGAGTGCAGCGGGCTCATGGTTCATTCTTCGCCGCCACTCACCGTTCTCCTGCACACCGCCGAAGATCATCCTCAGCACACGTCGCTCGAAAACTCCGAGTGCTTGCAGGTCCTCCTCGAGCATAGTCCATGTCTCGTGTCCATAGAGGACCACCGGTCTTATTAGCGTTCTGTACATGGTACATTTGGACCGTAGTTTCTTCTGGAGCCCGTAGTAGGCACGACTTCCACTGATGATGCGCCTTCGTATTTCAAGACTCACATTGTTGTCAGCCGTCAGTAAGGATCCAAGGTAAACGGATTCCTCCACTACCTCGAAAGTATCTCCGTCTATCGTAATATTACTATCGTAATATTAAGACTAGAAGGTCCCGAAATAACGTGCTCAACTTTTTGGCTCAGCTCTGGTACTCTTTTCGGTCCCAAGCTAATCGCTTCACCCCTCGAAACATAGGAAAATCCACGAACCCCTCATTTTATCTGTCAAACTTTCATAGCGAATCAAAACAAACAAAGTGTAGTGCTTGAATTTCGACTAGAATGGGGTACGTTAATGGATTTGCTTGGGACCAATAGGCTAGTCAAGTAGTGAGCCAATTTAAAATCGTTAGTTTCGTATTGATTGACGAATCCTGTCATGTTCGGTTCCGCCTACTAGCATGTACTTTGTTTTTGAAGCACACACCACCAGTCCGACCTTTGCTGCTTCGTGTTTCAGGCGGGTGTATAGTTCTGCCACCGTTCCAAATGTTCTTGCGATAATGTCCATGTCGTCCGCAAAGCACACAAATTGACCGAATTTCGTGAAAATCGTACCCCGGCTGTTGAGCCCGGCTCGTCGCATTACACCTTCTAGAGCGATGTTGAAGTGCAGGCATGAGAGTCCGTCACCTTGTCGCAGTCCCCGGCGACATTCGAATGAATTGGATAGTTCACCCGAAACCCTTACGCAGTTTTGCACACCGTCCATCGTTGCTTTGATCAGTCTGATCAGCTTCCCAGGAAAGCCGTTCTCGTCCATGATTCTCCATAGCTCTGTGCGGTCGATACTGTCCTATGCCGTCTTAAAGTCGATGAACAAATGATGCGTTGGGACCTGGTATTCACGGAATTTACGATGAAGATCTGGTCCGTTGTCGATCGGCCGTCGATGAAACCGGCTTGATAACTTCCCACGAACTCGGCCAATTTAGTTGATAGACGACGGAAGATGATCTGGGATAGCACTTTGTAGGCGGCATTCAAAATGGTGATCGCTCTGAAGTTCTCACATTCCAAATGGCAGATTACCCGCTCCTTCCACTCCCCCGGTAGCAGTTCTGTTTCCCAGATCCTGACTTTCATCCGGTGCAGGCAGGTTGCTAACTTTTCAGGGCCCATCTTGATGAGTTCCGCTGCAATACCATCCTTTACCAGCTGCTTTGTTGTTTTTGAGCTGCTGAATGGCATCATTAACTTCCCTCAGCGTGGGAGTTGGGTCAGTTCCGTTTTCTGCTGCACTGACGAAGTCGTTTCCTCCATTGCGCTGGTCTCCCGGTCCTACGTTCTCCTCGCCATTCAGGTGCGCATCGAAGTGCTGCTTCCACCTTTCAATAACCTCACGTCTGTCCGTCAAGAGGCTCCCGTCCTTATCCTTGCACATTTCGGCTCGCTGCACGAAGCCGTTGCGGGATGCGTTGAGCTGCTGGTAGAACTTTTTTCTCCCGAAAGATGCGGATCTGCTGTTTCCGCTTCTGTTTATACCGTTGCACGTTCTGTCGGGTTCCATGCTGCAGCATTACCGCCCGCGCTGGGTTCTTCTCCTCCAAAATCGCTCTGCACTCCTCGTCGAACCATTCATTCCGTCGACTTCTTTCCACGTACCCGATGGTGCTCGCGGCTGCGTCGGTGATGGCCTTTTACTGTACTCCAGTAGTCCTCTAGAGGGGGTACATCGAGCTCGCCCTCCTCTGGCAACGCTGCCTCGAGATTCTGCGCGTATGCTAAGGCGACATCCGGTTGCTTCAGTCGCTCTAGGTTGTACCGTGGCGGGCGTCGGTACCGTACATTGTTGATGACGGAAAGTTTTGGGCACAGTTTGACCATCACCAGGTAGTGGTCAGAGTCAATGTTAGCGCCACGATAGGTCCTGACATCGATAATGTCGGAGAAGTGCCGTCCATCAATCAGAACGTGGTCGATTTGCGATTCCATCTCTGTAGTGATCTCCAGGTGTAACGATAAGGGAGGCTGTGTTGGAAAAAGGTGCTCCGTATGGCCATGTTCTTGGAGGCGGTGAAATCGATGAATCGTAGGCCGTTCCCGTTCATCAGCTGGTGGGCGCTGAACTTTCCAATCGTCGGTCTGAATTCCTCCTCCTGGCCTAACTGAGAGTTTAGGTCTCCTATGATGATCTTTTTTTTTTCTTTTTTTTTTTTCCTTTATTATAGAGATTTTTAGCCATAGGCTAGTTCATCTCTTCCTATGATGATCTTGACGTCGTGGCTTGAGGAGCGATCGTACTCGCGGTCAAGATGCGCGTAAAATTCGTTCTTATCATCAGTGCATCCGGAGTGAGGGCTGTACACGTTTAATATGCTAAAGTTGAAGAATCGGCCCTTGATCCTCAACCTGCACATTCTTTCGTCGATCGACCACCAACCGATCACGCGCTATACTATACTATACCAGTTGGTTGTATTGGTACGATATGTGAGAGCGCGCTAGTGAAAATCCGAGGAAAACCGCTGTCACCCTATTTCTCACAGATCAAATTTCATAAAATTTTTTAGGTTAGCCAGAGAAAAATAATAAACAACTTTACACGGCGAGCCACCCACTAGTGCGTGCCTTAAACGTCACTAATCTCTATGCGTTTATGTGATATCGGTGGCAAAAGTAACGCAAGATGTTGTAAGTAATTTATAGTCTAATTTTTCACAATACTGAGTAAAATTATACTCAATTATGAGTTGTTTTCGATAGCCTTGTTGAGATTGAGCTGTCAACTGCTAAGCGCTCAATTTACAGTGTACTAGTCAACTTTCGTGTCACTAGTGGCGCTAGTGTCAAGGGAAAATCATGTCTTGGGGATAGAAGGAGAGTGGACCATACTGTACCATCAAAAAGATTAAAAATTAATCAAAAATTATTAAAATACAATCAAAAATGATTAAAATGTATCTCGGTTATTTGAAGATGAACATTGTACAGCTACTTTTCATAAAAGTTTACGTTCTACAACTTCACAACAGCAAACCTCTATCTTAGGAAAAAAAAAAAAAAGTTCGTATCGCTGAGCCATCTGGCCAAAACATGAACATGAAGTTCACCTGGAAAAAAATAATTACGTTTTGTTTATTAAAAAATATTGGAAAAGATTCAAAAATCTTAAAAAATCGGCTATTTTTTATTTTTTTAAAGAAAATTTCAGTAGAAAAACATGTTTTGTAAGTCATCGTGGCAAAAACTTGGCTTCAAAAGCCACAAAGCATAGAGTTTTCTGTTTTGCTGAGAATCCAATTTTTTATTTTTTTTTTTTTTATTGTTAAGTCAAAAGTTGGTGAAATGTTGAAAAATATTTATTAACAACGTATTTTGGTCAAACCAAGTAAGGAAAGTTCCAGAAATTGAGAAAAACTCATGGAAATATTTTTGTCCGCCTGCTTGTATGAAAATCTTCCATAGTTCGGCACCGGCATTTCTCAGAGTTATCTCAACTAATATGCTACAATGAACAAAGACAGCGGCGCCGGTGGTATAGTGGCAAGCGTGACTGCTTTTCACTTACAAGGGCCTCGGTTCCATCCCAGTCGGCGCCATAGGGATTTTCTGAGGCAAAAATCTCTAATCACGCCAATAGGTAGGTAGGGTCCAGGTGTAAGAGCCGCCTCCCTGGCGTCGGTAACATTGGTGTTCATTACGGAAAACAAGATCGACGGAAAACAAATCAAGGGAAAAAAGAAACAAAGATAATTATAAGCTTGTTTCTGGTAGAAAAGCGGCCAAAAAAACAATACATGTTTTTCTTATGAATGCCTCTACCTAAATCTTTTGCAAACATTTGCTGTGTGCGGTCACAGGTCAACTCTATACGGTTAACCTGTTGGTATTCGCCAAATATCAATATACGATATACAGTTGTATTTTCCAACTATATATTCGCATTGTTTGACCAACAACTTCCTTTTGTCATTTTGAGACCCAAATAAATCACAGCGTCACACAAATCATCAAAGTGTGCCTAAACAACGCGATTAACGCAAACATGCATGGAACACCCAGTGGCAGAGCTACCGTCTACCTACCAACCGCATCACGCGGCAAACGATGCGGTGACGTCTGCTAAATACGCCGACCGGCTGCGTTTACGCCCATAGGTGCGGTTCAGCTTCAGTAACTTCACTAATTGAACAACGAACGCTGTTAACACACGATAAACAGTTGTACTCACCCGTCAACAGCCGGTTGCTCTATTAAGTTTGACAAGCCGATCGATTTGATTGGAAAACTGCCGGCGTCTGACTTTCTTCACACCGACAGCCGGCTGTCGGCAGAACTTACGCACTTCTGCCAGAAATAAGAATTGATTTGCCGACAAGAGTGAAATGGTTTGATGCCATTGCATTTGAACAACATTTTAGGGTAATACAATGTGGCTGCAAGGCAACTATAAATAGTGAAGCACACTCAAGCTAAACTCATCAGTTGCATCGACCGTTTCAAACAATATAGTTAGTTTTGCAGTAATTAGATCCCAATCAAAATGCTGAAGTTATCAGTTGTTATCGTAGCTCTGTTTAGTTTGAGCATTGCCTACAAGCAGCACAGTTATGTGACACATGTGAAACATATTCCATACAAGAAGTACGCGGGGATGGAAAGCATCCAGGAAGAAGGTCAGCAAGGCGGAATGGAAGGACAGCAGGAAGGTGAACAAGGAGAAGGGCAAGAAGGAGGAATCATCATGGGAGACGGTCAGGAAGGGGCCGATTTAGGAATGGAGATGGGTGCCGGTGAGGGAATGGGAGAAATCGGTGGAGAAATGGGTGTTCAAAATCAGATGCAAGGAGGACACCAGCAGGATGAATTTGGTCAGGATTATTATACCTATCCAAAGTACAAGTTTGAGTATGGAGTTAAGGATTACCACACCGGAGATGACAAGAGCCAGTGGGAGATTCGCGACGGTGATTTCGTGAAGGGAGAGTACAGACTGGCCGATGCTGATGGTACACACAGAATCGTCAGGTATAAGGCCGATGACCACAATGGATTCCAAGCTGAGGTGAAGCAGATTGGCAAGGGATTCGAACATCATGGAGGGCAGGACGATGAACAGGGAGACATTGGCGGTGGGCATGCGTACAGCTACACCAAACTCAAACGGTACTTGTAAACTACTGTTACATTCTTAGATTAACAACATTCGTAGCAATATAATAATTAGAATAGATAAAATTTAAATAAGACAATAAAATGGAAATTGCATATATTATGAAATCACATTAACCATTTCGAGTTCTTCAGATTATTTGTACCTAACCCACTTAAGAAACACTTAACACTTAATAAAATTGATGGTTCTTGGATCATTGATGATTTATTATTTTGAGCAGCTTAACAGATAGCGCTGAATTTGACATTCTGTTTAAGATCGCTAAGTGGTTTGGTACACTTAAATCTTGATTTGCGAATCAAACCAGGGGTTTGTACATCGAATTAGTGCGTAAAAACTGGTTATTTGGAATTTATATTTATATAATTGCATATTGTTCAGGGATAATAAACAGCTCCTTTGAAAAATAGAGTATTTAGTAACTCTAAAAGTATTTTGCGTCTGATATTAAACTAACATTGCAAAATTTTATTAAAATTATGGGTGCTCAATTCGACCCTTGTGGACATTATGCCCCGATTCCCAAGCATGGTAAAAAAAAATTGAAAATATTCTTCTTCATTCCTTTATTTAACGCCGGTCTCTGTTCCGCAATCTACCAATCACCTACGGACATCGATTTTCATCCATTGACGGCAACCGAATATGCAGGAAGGCAGCTTCCTCACCTGCGTAGGATATCGCACCCATTCAACAACACATGGGTCGGGACCAACGGCTTTATTTCCCTTCGTAACCACACGAAAGGGCGTAACCAGAGATTTTTATGCCTCAGAAAAATACCACCATGCTTGGCATACACAGATTTGCATACCAGCGGCTTATTTGTTAACAGCCTTTCAATCAGTTGTTGAAATTAGATTTTCCTTGAAGTAATTGATAGAGAAGGATAATAGTTTACTATAGACATGCAAAGAGTAGATAAATCTTAACTTTTGAATCAACACCATTGAATTTTTAAACTAAAAGTACGAGATGCAAGCATTTCTCACTTCATTTTGGCAACGCAAAAACAAAAGCTGATTACTAGAACTAAAAGCTACTATTTTTAAAGTAACTATAACAAGCTTAAGCTCTATTCTATTGACTGTTGAAAAAATAACCATATTTCGTCTACTGTGTGCAAAGTTATTAGCAAATGACCAAAAATGTGCATGCCAAGCATGAATCCCACCGACTTCGGTTGGGATTAAACCCAGACCCATCGGAGTGAGAAAGCAGTCATTCTTACCACTACACCACCAGAACCGGCATTTTTGACGTAGGATTACGTCCTTATTGTGGTGCAATTTAAAAAAAAATGTAGATAGGGCTGGAATAAATGCGTAACAGTTTTTGTAAACAATGCTTTCTCTCGATGATTTTTAGGAATACAAGGCATGCCCATGCAAACCAACATTACCGTCGAGTAGGGGAAGTCTTACCCTACCTGATGATGATGTTGATTTGCGTAGGCGGGCCTTGACTTTCAAGACATCATCGAAAGAAGTCATTGTTGAATAGATTTTTCTCCTTTAGTTTACTTAAATCTTTGGTTTTAATTAGTTAGCTAGGTTCCGATTCAACACATTGTAGTTTCATTTTTATACCTGTGATCTTGATTTTTATACCTAGGGGATAAGTACTTAAGGAGTTAGTTTTTGAAAAGTTCTTTAGTGGGAATGACACTGATGAAGACTGCACATTGTAGTCGAAATACGTATCTGTCATGGATACCTAAATTAATTAACTGGAATTAAATGGAAGATAACCATTTTTTTATTGCTGTTTTATTTAAGCATTCCGCTAACAACCCAATTTCATTACTTCATTAAGTCATTGTTGACAAAAGCTGTTACGCCCTAATTCCAGCTCTATCTTGAATAGACTGCATTACGAAAAGTGGTCAGGTTTTGACCACATGCGGATTTTGTCAATAGCGGATGGTTTTTAATTCTAAAATGAAACCTTTATTAATTTTCAATAGATCTCTGCTGAAAATTACACAAATGTCCAACTGTTGCAAATTTTCACCGATTGCCTGCAAATAGCGCCTTCCCTTACACAGATTTCAAAACCGAATTCAATCTTGTCTGATGTGTGGTGGTGTCTGATCGGCCGTCAGCAGCAGTGCTTTCGCCTTGAAGCGTTGAACAGTGTACACAACGAAAGGCTGCCCGCAAGCAGCGAGCTGCAGCCCACATGACCGTCTATTCAATAAAGAAGCCTCACCGCTACTGATCGGAATCCATCTTCGTGAGTCGCTGTGCCAAGCGACCTCGTTCAAAACAACATACAGCTCGCCAGACTCACCCATGTTGAACACCCCAATAACTCAGCATTACCCAACCATCACGACAAAACGGTTCTTTTCAGGACCACCATAAATAATTGTTGTTTAAAGCTGGGTTTAGACAGGGCAAGTCAATTGATCAAATCAGTTGAATTAAACTGACTTGAACGCGAATTGAACGTGTAAACCATGCCATTCAACTGACTTGATCAACTCACTTGAACTGAAAAAGTTGAACCAGGCTCAACTTTTCAAGCCAATTGAAATCAACTGAATTGATCAAGTGACTTGCCTATTCTAAACCCAGCTTAAGAGTTAATTTTCATTGATCGTTCGCTCGCCTTGCTGCCAGCCACATCACCCCCAAAGCTTGCTAGAACAGGCGAGTACATAATTAATAGCGCAAATACGATGTCTGATGCCGATCCAAATTTCAGCACCTTGAATGCCGCCGAATCAACTCTCGTACCTCGGAGCCCGGAACGCAACGTAGAAAGCCTCGTGGAAGCCCCTGATCCCTCCGTCTCAGTCCAGCCATTTGCTGCCGCCGCTCACCATAGTTGTTCCGGACCTGTAGTCGGATGTGGAGAGGGGGTCTTCCAACCCAGTCACTATGGCGAGTATCCGTATGGTATTGTTAATGTTCATTCGCTGCCTGATGCTTCCGTGATTTCTAGGGAGAACAGACGTTCGATTGTAAGCCGCAAGCAGGACATCGTGATTCTCTTCCAAAACGCCGGCGGAATGAATTCTGATGTTGACGACTACCGGCTTGCTGTATCGGATCGTTGCTATGATGTGATTGTCCTATGCGAGACGTGGCTCGATTCACGAACGCTTTCCAGCCAGGTGTTCGGATCCGATTATGAGGTTTTTCGTTGCGATCGGAATCCAAACAACAGCCGAAAATCTACTGGTGGTGGCGTTCTTGTGGCTGTCCGTTCCGGATTGGAGGCGAGAGCAATCGAAAATGAATCGTGGAACAGTGTGGAACAGGTTTGGACAGCCATTAAACTGGGCGATCGCCCATTATTTTTGTGCGCATTGTACATGCCACCAGATCGAGTTCGTGATCTTGAACTCATCGAGACTCACTGTCAATTAGTCTTCACAGTAATGGAAAGAGCGACTCCAATTGATGAGCTATTCATTTTTGGGGTCTTTAACCTAGCAGGCGTTTCGTGGAGACCATCCCATAGCGGCTTCCTCTATCCAGATCCAGAACGTTCTGTATTTCATGCAGGAGCTATCGGCCTTCTCGATAACTATAGCGTAGTAACGCTTTCTCAAATTAACTACGTAGTCAACGAGAACAACCGTAGTTTGGACCTCTGCTTCGTGAGCACTCAGGACAATGCTCCGTTCATTTCCACAGCACCTTGTCCACTAGTTAAGCTTGTTCCGCACCACCCTCCTCTGATTGTCACTGTTGAGGACAATCTCGTTCGTGATTTCGATAGTCTTCCTGCTGCGGTTTCTAATGACTTTCGAAAGGCCGACCATCGAAGCATTGTAGATGTGTTGTCAAACATGGACTGGGAGAACATTCTCGATCATGAAACTTTTTCTCATATCTTGGCATATGTCATTGACAGACACGTCCCGAAAAGAATTCAACGCAAAGACTCTCACCCTCCCTGGCAGACGATTGAGCTGCGTAGGTTGAAGTCGATCAAAAGAGCAGCATTGAGAAGATTTACGAAGTATCGCACGCTTCCTCTGAAACATCACTACGTGAGGCTTAATCACGAGTATCAGCAAGCCAGTCGTCGATGCTTTCTGCGATTTCAACGAGGTATTCAGCGTAACCTTAAACTTCACCCGAAATCCTTCTGGAACTACGTGAACGAGCAACGCAGAGAATCTGGCCTCCCATCGTCAATGGAATTGAACAGTGAAGTCGCTTCCACTCCGCAGGATATTTGTCGCCTTTTTTCTGTCAATTTTGCCAGTGTGTTCACTGATGAGAGACTAAGTGACGACCATGTTTCACTCGCAGCCAGGAACATCCCACTAAATGGTCAAACGCTGAGTGTAATTGATGTCAACGTTGAGATGATTTTTAACGCTGCAACGCAGCTCAAATCGTCCTTCAACCCTGGACCCGATGGAGTTCCGTCCGTGTTTTTGAAGAAACATATTGCTTGCTTGTTAACTCCACTTCACCGTCTATTCCAGATGTCTCTCTCCAGTGGTATATTTTCATCCTTCTGGAAATGTGCACACATGTTTCCTGTCCACAAAAAGGGAAGCAAACGAGCCGTGGATAACTATCGTGGAATTACATCGCTGAGTGCTGTTTCGAAACTATTCGAGCTTGTTATTATGGAACCGTTGCTCTCTCACAGCAAGCAGTATCTGAGTGCTGATCAACACGGGTTTACTGGCGGTCGCTCTACAACCACCAATCTGCTATGCCTCACATCCTACATTACCGATAGTATGACTGAACGGGTACAGACGGACGTTATATATATACCGATCTATCCGCGGCATTCGATAAGTTGAATCATGACATTGCGATTGCTAAACTTGACAGGCTTGGGGTGAGCGGTAATCTCTTGAGTTGGTTCCGTTCGTATCTTACTGGTCGCCAACTTATGGTTGCTATAGGAGATTGCAAATCAGCTAGCTTCTTTGCCACATCAGGTATACCGCAGGGAAGCCATCTGGGACCGTTGATTTTTCTACTCTACTTCAACGACGTGAACCTAGTTATCGAAGGACC